CATATATTCCCTGGGTTTGTACAGAAGTAAACTGCCCATTCTTAGTCAACAGCATAATAGATAATATTTACAGAGGCAAAAATACAGCCCACAGTCTAGGACGGGTCATTTTTCCAGTCTGCAGTTTTTCTGACAAAGCAAAACACTGAAAACTTTAGATAAAAAAAACATAATTACATTTTAGAACAGCCTTAACTGACAAGTCTGTCAAAACCAGCTCTCCTTTTGTCTCTAACACTGAAGTTTTAAATTGTTTTACAACCATGACCATTTATATAAACAAAAAGGAGAAAAATAAAAACACATGTGGAATGATAAACACTATAAGAAAAATACTTCTCCACTCTGTTCTGTAGATCTGGCCCCAAACATGAAACATGAGGGAAACAATGACAATTCCTAATAAAACTTTAATCTGCCACTCTTATTTGGTTTGGAAGTCAACCAGTTTCCCTATCCAATGGGTTTCCCAAACAAAAACGTTCCATTGATATAATTACCCATTAGAGACATTAGAGTATTCTTCTAGCCAGCAGTGGAACATTTTTTTCGTGTTAACTTTTAACACTGTCATTTTCCTACACTATTTAAAAATTCAAACATGTACAAAATCCAGTGGCATTTGCCATTCAAGAGAGGTTCCATCTATTGCTGATTGCTCCAGGTTTAACTCTGTACAGTGCATTAACAGCCAAACTGAACCTGAGGACACATCTGGCCCCAGACTTTTGCTTCAAAGTCCAGGCTACACAATTATATTAAAGATGCCTAGAACTGTTAAGGCTTGTATGTTTTCAGCAAATATAAACTCCTTGTTAAAAGTCTTCCATGTGCCTACTAGAAATGGTAACCAAACCTGACAAAACTATGAATAGGTATTATAATATTCTAGTAAATTTCCAAATGCATTTCTCCCATCATCCACCAGGTATGCTCAGAAAAGAAAAAAAAAAACAGATAAAGAAAAAAAAAAACCAAAACCAAAAAACACTTGAGGCATTATTTATTTCAATATATACACCAAGCTTGAAAACAGTAGGACTTTCTGAAGAAAGTTCCCTTACCCTACTGCTCCATGTGAAATTCCCAGGAAAGCAGCCAGCCCCATGGGCAGACAAAGATCATACACAGACCCTGTGCCTTTTGCTCCTGTTCAAGGACATAAAGAGCAGAACCACCCAAGTGCCCCACTGCCCAAAATGTACAGGACAGAGGATCCTGGCAGGACAGAGGATGTCTTACAGGATCCACAGCAACACATCACCTTGAAGAATCACTATTACATTTTTTTAAAAGTCTCCAGCTGTGCAGAAATCTGCTGATGTGTCTCCTTCTACCCAGGATAAGGAGATGAAGAAGCTGCAGCTGGCATTTGATGCAGACAGCCAAGCCAGCACACAACATGTGACAAACGTGAACTGACTGCTCCAAGAGCTGCCTGCCATACCCCTGGGACAGAGCTCTCAGGGCAGCTTCTGACCTGGATCCTTGCCAACTGGTCCATGTCCATCCACTGAAACTGTTGGTGGGAGAGAACACTTCTAGCTCTCAGAGCTGTTGAGAGAACAGCTTGAGAGAACAGTTTTGGGGGAAACTTTCTCCGTGATTTACCCTGGGAGCTGAACTGTTAGTATAAATGTAAAGCATCTGCCTTGTGGTGAAAACAACACAGGAAAGCAGATTACAGAACTCAGAAAGCACAAGAGAAGACAAAGGGACCAAGGACAACCAATCATCATAACAGGGGACAGAGTTTTCTATCAATCCTGGGTCCATCTCCAGCCTACCAGCACTGAAGATTCTGAGGTCCTACACTGGTTGTTTTCCCAAGAGTTTTTCTCCTTGTATCTAAACTCAAGCTGTGACAACTATTAGCTCTGAAACAATTGCCTCAGGAGTTTGTCTTACAAGCAAGGACAGACTTGCTAGGGCTGCTGACACAACACTCATCACCTCCACTTCATTGTGGCTGCAAAAATCACTTCTCATAAAGCAGTTCCAGGTCCTTCCCATCATATTAAAGTAAACCAGCATCCTTTTCTGTTTGACTCGGTGGCAAGCTGCCGCAAGCAGTTCCTGAACCCTCACAGCTGAAGCATGAGCCAGACTCTGACCTTGTCAGTCATCCCAGTATGGGCTGTTTGTAATATTGAGTCAGAATCTACAGAAAATCAGCTGAGCTTGGCCTTTACTACTCCCTTTGCTTCCCTTTACTACTCCCTTTGCTTCCGAGTCAGCTACAACTCACAAGTCTGGCTTCAAATGCCAGAGTTCCACATGTGGATAAGAGGGATAAAATATCAAGCATTTACAGGAGTATGCTCTGCCCTAAAGCAGAAGTTTGAAAAAGGAAGATATGTACCACTTGTATAATTCTACATTTAGTGTTACTGTTTTTCTTTTATAAACAAAGTTATCACAGAAAGGAACAGACATTTTCAACATTCTATGCTTAGAAAAGCAGTAGAGTATTTTTAAACTACCAGCCCTCCTCCACAAAGCTGTGCACTGCTTGCTAACAGAGATTCACAATCTCACAACAGCATAAAACATTCATTTCCACTCCAAATGCTTCAGGAGGTACCTCCCTTCTAACAAAACAAAATAAATCAGTGGCTTGGGCATTTTCCTGAGTCTAAATGTATAAATGCTGATTTTCATTCCATGAATATAAATCATATTATCATAGAACCATTTAGGTTGGAAAAGACCTCTAAGATCAACACCAACCATTACCCCAGCACCACTGTGTTCACCACTAAACCATGACCCCAAGTGCCACTTGTACATGTCTCTGAAATCCCTGCAGGGATGGTGGCTCCACCACTGCCCTCAGCAGCCTGTTTCAATGCCAAACCACCCTTTTGGTGAAGGCATTTTTCCTAATATCCAATATAAATAAACCTCCCCTGGCACAACTTGAGACTATTACCTGTTGTCCTATCATTTGTTACCTGGGAGAAGAGACTGATCCCCACCTTGTACAACCTCCTTCTGGCTAGTTGTATAGAGTGACAAAATCCCTCTGAGTCCCCTGTTCTCCAGGCTAAACAGTCCCAGCTCCTTCAGCCACTCCCCATCAGACTTGTGCTCCAGCTCCACTGGGGAACTGCTCCAGACCTCAGTATCTGTCTGGTCATGAGGGGCCTGTAGCAGGATGTTCTGCTCAAATTTTACCCTATTTGCAAATAAGTTCCAAGTGCTGGATGGAGAAAAAGGGTTTTATACAAATTTTGGTGTTGAAGAATGCTGAGACCAGCCTGACTCACCAATCCCAAAGTTAAACACTCTGAGGATGTGAAAAAACAGTGTTTCCTGACAGAAACAGGCACTGATGAGGACATGACAAAGTCCCTGATGAAGAAATCACCAAGTGATAGCACTCACCTGAAGCTGCTGAGCTGCAGGCTGCCCAGCTGGCACAGCTCACCTAGAAGCACAAGGTACCCAAGATAGTTTTGTTTTTGCTGTGGAGATGGTCTTTGCTCCAAGTTTGGACTAATTGCTCCACATCCTGAAGCCGGTAGAAGTTAAAGTATCAGGCTACCTGAATGCCTTGGTTCTCAGTGGACTGTACTGCAGTTCTCATTATGTAAAGGTTTCTGTATCAGTGTTGGTGTTGGCACTGAACTTCACAGGGCTGCCTGCTGCAGCTTACATGCTTTTTAAAGCACCTCTCCAACATCCTTATCTCTAGCAGAAATGTTATGCTCTAATTAAGTAGAAAATAATTTTATCTTTAGATGAAATGTGATTCACTCTCCTAAATGCCTACCTCCTCATCTCTAAATAAAACTCATTTTAGTTAACAATTCAGTTTCATGTTTCAGCTGCAGCTCCTCTAGGACCTTCACCCTATGCACAATTCATAACCAACCCTACAACATCAAGGGCAGAGCCATAATGAGCCTAAAGGGCAAAATAAGCTGCAATCAGACCCCCTGGCTTGTGCCAGAGGAGAAGGCTGAAAAAGCAATTCAGAGTCACAGGTCCCTTTATTACATGCAGATGAGTTTAAGCACACAAAAATAATAGCGAAAACCACATCGTTTCTTTCATCTTCTCTCCCTCCCTTTTTTTAAGTTGTCTGTCATGTGCAAAAGACACATTCTAATTCTAACATGATCTTTTGGGTTTTGGGGTTTTTTACTCTATGCAGAAAAAAGCACAGCCCAGAAGGACTGTGCCCATTAAAACACAATGAAAGATGATAACAACAGCAAACAATGTTATCCTATGCTGTGGACATGTACTTTTACTTGCTTTCTAACAGCAACTCACCACACTGCTGTGCATTAGTACAGACCACATTATCACAAAACATGGCTTTACCTAGGAAATGTTCTTTCTCCTGAAGCAGCAATCAGCCACAGAGCACAGTGCCCATCTGCCACCTGCACTGCCCTGCCTTCAGCACCACCTCCTGCTCCATCACCAGGACGTGAGGGCTCTCTGCACCAACCCATGATAAATTCATCTGCAGCACAACACAATTTGTGTTCTTAAACAAACCAACCACTTCTGATGAACCAATCCAACCATGTGAAAGGTTCCTGATGTGAGGGTACAAATCAGGAGAAGTTCCAGCACTCAAACCTCTCACAGCAGTTTCCTCAATCCCATCCAGTCTGATGCAATGTGAAATAGGAATTGCAGCAGTTTTCACTCCAATGTGTCTGGAATACTTTCATGGAACTATTTAATCACATTCAATTACTTAAGTGCACTACAAAATGCAGATTTATTTTTTTTTTTTAATATAAAATAGCCTGATCTGAATTCTCTAGATTGTATAGATTCCTACACTACACACAAACCTTCGTTTCTTATTTTTTTTGGAAAACAAACAAACAAAAATCCTTATAAACAAACAAAACACCCCAAAACAAACCCCAAGTATTTCAAAAAAGAAAGAATGCTTAAACAACATGTAATCATGGCTGGTTTTAAACACACCTATAGACCACCATATGTGGAAAACAAAACATGAGGACACTTACAGAATTGTAGACTCAGGCTCAAAAAGGCTAATAAGGCTGCCAAGGCCAGCAAGAACAGAAAACGGTTTCGGAAAAGCATTATTATTCACTCTGCTTGCTCTTCATGGTTTCATCTTCAGATATCTGTGATTCCTGCAAACAACAAAACAATGGCAAATATATATTTCAAATATGGAAGCACCAGTTATTCTTTAAAGGCAAGCACACAAGGCAATTCAAATTGGTAACAAGAAAACAGAGAAGTTGCCTTCAGCCTAACAATAGGATTAATTATTTCCACAACAAAACTTTCAGGTAAATAAAAAATATTTCCATTTTCCATTAAATTAAACTTGCTCCTGCTAACACAGGGTTAATACTCACATTCACAATTCTTAAGATAATAAAGACTAAGAAAAGCTGTCAATACCATTCCACAGTAAACAAAAAAATAATAAAGCCTCAGCAGTCATTACTCATTGCAAAAATAAAAATAGAAAAAACCCAAGCTCTCTCCTGAAAACATCTGAACATACTTTTTCTTGCAAAAATTACATTGCTAAGAGTAGAGAATTTGCTGAAATGCCCTGTTTGCACAGATGTACATTCTCCTGTTGAAAACTGCTCTATATAAGGAATGAGAGGGTTGCTCTCTCCCCCTACATGCCTTTTTTTCTTTCAAACAACCAGCTGCTCTTATGTGGAAGAGATGCCTCCTCCTAGCACTGGCAGTGTGCTGCAGGAAATTGGTTAGTCTTGAAAGAAATCTTCTGAGATTCCCAGATCCTTTGAACTGAGTTTTGTTTATGACAGAACACTCAAACCTGTTGACAGAAAGTAACTTTTTTCCCCCCTTACCATTCCTTTTTACCCCAGAACTTATTTCCTCACAGAAAGAGGCCTCTCTTTATTTTTCCTGCTTTTGAGAATGACAAGTTTTACATACACATGTAATTAATACATACTTGTTTACCAAAGCTCTCCTGGACTCCCAAAAACTAACCATCTTAGCAAGATCTTAATCTCTGAGTGCTGATAAAACCACAACCACAAAATTCTGATTTTTTCTACATTGCCCCCCCCCCCCAAATTAATTTTCTTACTAGTATTTGAAAAGGTCTCAGGAATCATTGAACTTATTTTATGCACTGGGGTTGGTCTTGAAAAGAGTTGTGTGATTGCAGCAAGTGAAATCCATTATACACATACATTTTGCAGGACTGAGGTCTTTCCATCTCATTTTACTTGGACAGCTACCTTAACAGCTTTCAGAAACTGTGGAAAAATTGAAAGACCTGGAGATTTTGAGAAGTAAGAAACCAGAGTCATTACAGAATTTTTCCCAAATGCCAGAAATGGCATGTGCAAGCAGTAATAAAAATAAAGTAAAAAGAGAGAGAGAGTAAAAGTTGGAAGGAATAATTTTTAACAGTTCTCAATTTCAAAAAAATCATAGCTCATCCTGGAACATCCTAGTGAAAGGCAGGCAGAAGCAAAACTGAACTACACCACTGCAACTCAACAAAGCTGTGAAGGATGGAAGGTAAAAGGATTAGTGTATGCCAAACACCAGGAGAGAATAAAGCAGTTCAACCAAACAGATGGGACAACAGAAGGAACCACAGGAAAAAGCAAAAAATAGACTTAGCAGGGAGGAGAAGGTAAAATCTGTTAAAAAGCTCTCAGGAACAAGAGGTCTTGTGCACAGTCTACGTAGTGCACATACTTTTGTTGCATAAAATAAATCTGCTACAAAAAAAGAAAAAAATTAAAGACTGAAAAATAGGAGATCTTACACACTTCATATTAGCAAAATGTTTTCATGAGTAAGCTTAATGAGCTTAAAGCTTTAATTGCAGATCAGAAGCTTTAAAACATTGAGTGTGAAAGGCATCATTCAAGAAATTACAAAGTGGAAAGATTTTTCTTTTGAATACATTTTGGCTTGCTAACAAATTAAAAGTTGTTCTGTTGTGACTTATGAGGAATAGAAACAGCTCCTGCTGAGAAACTGTTAATTAAAAGCCTGTCAACACAATTTGCCATCAGCTCTTCCTTGGGAAGAAGCTGCAGGGAATCAGGTGAAGGTATGTGAGACTGAGTCCTGAAGCCTCTGCTCCTCCAGGCTGGCACACAAGATATTCCCAGGACCAGCACAAGGTAAGTGAAAGCAGTACAGTAAGAATTGTGAGCACACACTGCAGGGAGCATTGGTAAGCTAAAAAAGATAAAACAAAGCCTGGATGGGGGAGAAATAAAAGCAAACCAACCTCATCTTCCCACAAAACTATTCTTACATGCAGATGAAACAAAACAACAAACCACAGAGCAAAACACATTTGAGGTGTTCAGGACAGACTATCACAGAGCACGAGCACTGCAGAGCATCCACTGCTAACCTGACATTTAGGCACTGCTGATCTTTATTTGTTTACCCAAGACAGAGTGCAGGTCCTGGCCAACATCTCCATAACATGAGCTCCCAAAGGGAAATTCCAGCAACAGCTGCCAGCAGCACCTCACTGGGCTGCAGGGATGGGGCCAAGGAAGTACCTTCTGCTTTTAAAGGGGAGTAAGCATCACACCAAGGTGGAACTCAGTGCCAGGAGCAGCAGCACCTGACATGTGCCCAAAATGCAGTGAGTGATGCTCATTCCTGAGACAGGGAGATTTAGATTGGATATTAGGAAAAACTTCTTCACAGAAAGGGCTGTCAAGCATTGGAACAGGCTGCCCAGGGCAGTGGTGAAGGCACCATCCCTGGAGGGATTTAACAGACCTGTGGATGTGGTGCTCAGGGACAGGGCTCGGTGGTGGGTTTGGCAGTGCTGGGGGAACAGTTGGACTTGACCTTTTCCAACCTAAACAATTCCACAATTCTGCTTCTATAAACGCAGTACTTGATAAAGATCACCTATACAACTCCAAACATTTCAGTCACACTAATTTTACATGCAACACACTTAAACAGTTTAGAAATTCATAAGGATAGTCATTAATAAAGCATCCTACATTGAAATGCAGGTAAGTAAATGTAGGTGACTTTTCAGTCACCTTTTGCAGCATACCTACCTATATACCTATCCACAGAATGTAACTTTTCCTTTTAAACACCATCCAAAATCTCAAATTGTCAAAACATGCCAGAATGACTCACAGCATTCAGAGCACCCTCGGTACTTCCCTAATCTCACACAAGTGCTGGCTTAAGGTGCTATTGCATGCTCACACAAAGGTAAAAACAGCCTTATGGTTGAAGGCCAGGCCAGGGAGTCAGGAACAATTAGTACCTACCTGAAATGCTGTGAGAGAGGCAGCCTGCCTGGGGCCCAGGTGAGGCACCAAGCTGGAGCAGAGCAGCTGGCAGCACTAAGCTACATTCTGTTCATTGGAGGGGCACTGCCAGCCAGGGCATCACACAGAACCTCCCTCTGCAGCACCAGCTCCTCAGCAAACCACAGACAAGGCATTGCTTGACTGGTTAAACTTCTTTTGTTTAAGTCAGGTCCTGAAAATAACTTTACATCAATGCTTTCAAAGCACTTGTGAGATGAGATGTAGCACTAAACTAGCAGTGCCAAACTCCTGTGCCAATTGACTGATGCTGTTACATCCTCTAAATCACCAGCATCCATCTATAATACAAACCTACTCTTCAGCATGAAGCATAAGCACAGAATTACACTGACTCACCATGACAGCTTAAATGAATTTACTTGATTCAAACAGCATGTCTCCATAAATAATCAATAGTACTCCTCAAAGTCTGCCTCAATAAAATTACTGTATTTATCTGATGTGCTGCATCAAAATGACATTGTCTACTGAAACACAAGTGAGTGAAAGTGGTCACAATGAAAAAACCAGCAAAGATAAATGAAGACTTTGCCCCAAAAGGAAGGTAGTGCTCAGTCTGTACATAACTGTGTGCCAAAGGCAGAAAAAGTGTATTTTGGAGCAAGCTTATAGAGCGTAGGAAGGGGAACAAAAAGCCCACAGACAACATAAGGTTGATTTGGAGTTACATTCAGAGATAGTTTTAGAAAAGATCATAGAATAAAACAGGGACCCACCCATTAGTCTGATATCTCTACACTGCACAAGAGATTTTAACTATCATTTCTTTTTGATACATCTTTTGCTTTTCATCTTCATCTGTAGTGTTATTTTGTGACAAAGCCTGTTTTCAAGGCATCTGAAATGAAGGTGACAGCTCCTGATGCAATTATAATGAAAAGTTCTTCCTTGACTTTCACTTTAACTCGTGGTGCTTCACCAATCACTCCCCAGCCATTGGGCAGCAGCCTACCAGGCACATTTTTCATCTACTCCTAAGTCCAGCCCCCCAGACATCTTCAGACAGTGAGTTCATACTCTTGAATTAGCAACTGCAGAAAACAGTTGTGTCAGCAAATGGCACAAGTCAAACCTTTTCTCTGGCACTTCAAGCAATTTGCATTTTTTTTCCTGCAATAGAAAATAGTGGCTGGGATTTTCTGGTCATGACCAAATCAACCAGTGCTATAAAGATCCATGGCAAGAACCAGAACAGAGTGGAAATGGGAACATGCAGCAGAACCAATTCCCCGGTCAGCATGACCTGCTTAGTTACTGATGCTTGTAATTGTCATGGTGAGGAAACCCTCACAAAAACCCTGCAGCCACTGGAGCAGCAGCAATTTAATTTGGACATATGATCCCTGCAACACTGAGGGTGCATTTTGCACAGCATCACAAAGTAACATAGAATCTGTGATACTGCTCAGCACAATTCTCCATTTTCCCATTGGAAAAAAACAAGAAACATACTCTTTTTTTTTAATAGCATTTAAGGAAAATAGGTCACAACACTCGGTGCACATAAATGCATTTATAAAAAGAGTAAAATCAGCTCATCATTGAAAATATTAAATAAAACCTGCTCAGTAGTGTTATCTGTGTTAGCCCACCCACCCCATGAGTTAGCTGGAAGTCAGTAACCATCAGTAGCCACAGGACACACAAAACTCAACTGAAAGTACAAATAGGGCAGCAGCCTCATGAAACAAAAACAAACAAAAAACTCCCATACAAAAAAAAACCCAACATCTAAGTAAAGATAAAGAAAGCCATGATAAAAAAGGCAACATGTACCACTCCACAAGTAAGGCATGGAAACAGCAAGAAGCCAATAGAGCATGGCTACATGCTAATATGTAAAAACTAATAGTTACTTATAAGCATGGCTACATGTTAATATGTAAAAACTAACAGTTACTTATATGATATTTTTTAATTACTTAATATTTTACCAAAAAATATATGATTTTAAAAGAAAAACAACTAAGATGTTGAAGTTTAATGTATTTTAGCACATTTAAATGTCCACATCGAAATTTTTCTTGTCTTCTGTTTGCAAGTTTCTTCCTTACCTAGCCAGTTCTAAAATCCTCATACTGGTACAGCTGGTCCTGCAAAGTGCAAAAGCTATTGCAATGGCCCAGCAGTACTGGGCCTTTCAAGAGAGCAGCACAAGCTCCCACTTCATACAAACCAAGGGATCAAAGAGATCTTCCTTGAACAATTCTGCACCTCTGTACAGATTTACCCCCAAATTTAATAAGCCTGGACACTGACGAGTGCTGAGCACATAGAAGTGATGAAGGGACCATCAGCCAGGCTGAATATTGACACACCTCAAAGAAAATCCACTGCTCTCAAAATACCAGGTTCCTTTGACTCCAAAATCTGAGCTTTTAAACTTCAAGATGCAGAAGCAGACGAACTGACAAACATTTTAAACACCTCCTTCTCCTCAGCAGCTTTCAAGTTTGAGCAAGACTCTTGTAAAGTTTTACACTGGAAATGCTGGAAAAGCCACCTTCAGCTTACAGCCTTCAGAGGGCTGCTTCCTTCTTTTCAGTTCTGTCCTACTCAGTCACCATTAGGAGCTGCTTTCTTTCAGATAGCAGATGCTAAGAGATGTGAGCAGAACAAGTGTTTGCATAGTTTAGGTTTGCATTTGATTTTACCAGTCTAAGCCCTTTAGGATGTATTTGTTTTATTGAACTTAGAACGTACCAATCCATGAATCTCCAGAAACTTGGCAATAAACACAGTCATGCAGAGACACCTATGTTCAAGTTTTGTGCATTAATATTATAGTTAATGCAGTGTAAGATTAGAACACTACAACTATACTATATGAGTTTCACAGCATTAGAAGTTGATTTATTCTGCAGCCAGAAATCCCTCAGTTTCTGGAGTTTCCTTATACTTACATCAATTTTCTGATGAAATGATGCCTATGTTATCTTGATCAAATGTAACTAAGTAAAAAAAAAAAAAAAAAAAAAAAGCAGCATGGGAACTGTTAAAAAAGCATGAAAATATCATTAAGTGTTGGATTTTAATTGGTTTTTTCACCCTTGCACAGCAAATCATTTAGGTGTGTCAGCTTACCTCCCAATACTCTGACCACTAATCACCTTGCAAGGAAACACTTCTAAAACCAAATGCTTCTGAAAACTCAAACAAGTACTTTTGGAAGAAAAACCATAATTGTGAGCTGTAGATACCCTTATAAGCACTTGAATACCAAAACAGGAGTGTTTTTTAAGACCAGCCACAAAAACTTCTGACATGAAGGCACTAAACAGGATCAGTACTGCAGTTTCTACATAATCAATGGTTCCTAGAACTATTAATAAGAAAATATAAGTAAATACATTAACTAATTTAGAGATGAAGAAAACCATAGTTTCAAAATATAAGGTACTATAAATATCTGATTCTTGGGGATGAAGTCATTGCCCTAGAACATTCTTTTCCTTCTCCATGCTCTCTGCTATTCCTAAAATTATCAGTATATGTGAGAAAAGTTCTTAACAGCTGCAATTCAAATACTATTTCCATGTCCTGCACATCCTTTCATTAAAAATAAATAAATAAAACCACTATAAATTTAGTTTCCTTTTCTCCCAGAACACTCTGCCTTTAGAGACTCAGCTTGGAGACAGCTTGCTCATGCCCAGGCTCTGGCAGCACCCTGACAGCAAAGGCATTTTTGCACCTACCAGCTTCACTGATTTATTTACACAGAATATACAGTGTTCCCATCAGCCAGGACACAGGAATGACATAACCCCGCCTGGAGGAACCTAACAAAAGTCTAAATTAGCTCTGACAGTAAACAAAGAGAAAAAGCAGGACTGCACATAGAAACAATTATGGAATGTTTACTTCAAGCTGTCTGCAGACCCCTTTATGTTCGACTTTCTCACAGATTTAGACATCTGTTTAGACCAGAGGACAAAACAGTGGTCAGCAGCAAAATTCAAGCTTGCCAGCTCACACATTCTCCCCCTTTTGATTCATCCTTTTAGTCAATGATGCTATGTACCACATCACTCTGGGGGCTCAGAGCCCAGGCAGGAACCTCCACGCCTGAGTTCTGCTCCACAGCATGGAAAACACACAGAACCTCTCCACATGGCACCCACAGGAACCTCTGAACTCCTTGAGCAGAGATGTCTGCTCGGCACGCTGCTCTAAGGGCTCAGAGGGCAGCACAATCCCTGAAGATGGATGTGGGCTTGAATCTGAAGCTGCATTCTGGACAGAACATGATACAGCATGGACTGCTTCCCTCAAACCACAGAGAAGCTTCACTGCTGTGTCACAGTCTACCAATAAAATCCAACTTATAATAAAATCTGTCAAATTACAAAGCTTTCAACAGAGTTCAAATAAGCCATTCCCCTTTTTAAAGAGTCAGACTTCATGGCATACCCAAATCTTAAGTATTGAAGAGACCACTGCAGTTCCTTTGCTAGCTTAAAACCTCTTATTTTCATATTACTTCCAAGAGATTCTTCAGTTCAGACAAACTTTTCAGTAAGTGTTTTGATCTGGTTTTGATAACCTCTTTTTGGTAGGAAATAAGATCAATGCCCTACACCACTATGTAGAAGTCTTCAAAAACTTTAAGTCAATACCAGCCCATCAGTCCAGCACATCACTTTGGAGGCTCTGCTTGAACCAATATAATATCCAGGAAAATCTGTCACAAATCAAGCCCAATTCTCTGTTATTCACTTCAGGAATGCCCCTGTATTCCTACTCCTTTTCCCTATGCAATAATAAGTCTCTGAACTGCAGAGAAAGTAAAAACAAAACCAAAGGAAGTTATTTTACTTCCTTAAAGGAAACTGAGCAACTCTTTTTTAACAGTATTATGAAACTTGAAGGAAACCTTATGATTTTGATGGCTCCAGGCCAGAACTGAATATTAACTGGCAGCAAAACCATTCTAGAACATAGAGATAATTAAATAATTCTTAAAAAACAGCACCAGAATGTAATTATTTTAAACTTACAATTTTAAAACCATATACCATATGCTCATAACTATAAGCATAGATCCTAATCACCCCCAGATCACAGCCAGTGGCTGATCAGATAATATCACAGCTCCAAAAAGCACACAAAGGCAAAGCAGTTAACATGCTCAAATTGCTACATGATTTTTGGGGTTTGTTTTTAAGTTAAGGTTTTTATTTTTCAAGTTTGAATTCTTTGAACAACTCCATCTCCTGATATTACACTCCCATGTCCATGTGTTTCCTCTGAGCAGGAATCTGCCTCCCTCTGTCCCAGTGTCAGGGGTTGTGTCCTGAGGCAAATACCTTCTTCTGGCACTAACTTTGAAATGCTTACTTTGAAAGTAAACAATGCAGGGATACACCCAAAGCTAGTTGTCATCAGCCAGGGAAGGCAAGTTGAATAAACACATCAGTGAACAAAGTTCATAAACACAGAAAAATGCTTATTTTCCCACACTGAGCCAAATTTATCCCATGTAATGTTCAAGATGATGTTAGTATTAAGGACAGTATTTTTCACTGCTTGTCAGTTCTTCCACTCAGGTTAGATTTGGATCTGAGAATGTGATCTGACTTCCCAAAATCCAAATGACCTTACACTGGGTCAGTTTATACCCTCCCTCACACATACATATTCTACTGGTGGAAGTTACACACCCACAGTCCTCAGGGGCTCACACAGGTTCATCTGCTCACAGTATCCAAACTGAATGGATCTGGGGAGACTTTATCTCTTCAGCCAACTTGGCCTGTCTTGTATCCCATCTTCACCTGGTCCTTCATCCCTCAGCCTCTGCCAGAATTTGAACCCAGTGCCCCATTCCCCCAGAGCCATCAGCCCACCCTAAAATGCACCATTTTACATCTGGTGATTTGGCCACTACAGAGAGCTTTCCAGGTAGTAAAACACCATTTTACTAAATTAACTTAATTATAAATGTAAAAAATGGCAGTGCAACTACATGGTGTTTGTGCAAGAGGGATGGAAGGGATGACACTGATTTTATTACCTGTTACATTTCTGCTCTATCCTACCCTTGTGTTCAAGCCATATTTCAGCCCTCATCTCAAAAGATTTTTTTTCTGCCTACAGCCCTGCATGAGATCTGTTCCATCCTATCATTATATGTTAGGTCACCCAAAATTTCCATATTCAACCACTTCCATAAAATCTCAAGGATTCAAAATTACAGGGCAGATAGGCACTTCTGTTCCAAATGGAAAACTTGTGCTTCTCCATACATTCTACGATTACCCACTGCAGCTCCTACTGGAGAGGAAATAACAAGATTAAACATACTTTATTCAGCAGTTTTGTCAAGTTCCTGCAATCTAGCCCCAGAATGGTGATTACACAGATGCATTAGCACACAGTCAGCATTTTCTGCTGCCCTTTCCTCCCCACAGCACTGTGAACAAATGCCAACTTGCATGGCTGCTGGAGGGCTGAATGGGGAATAACACAGGCAACATACTGAGAAAACTGCCATGCTGCTGGCAAAAGGGCATACCTGGCTTTTCCCTGGATCCTCATGGCAGCAGCACAAGCTAACCACTAGGAGCACATCATCTTACAGATAGAGACAGCTGATCACACAGGTGCAGTCAGGAGAGTTATTGCTGCAAAAGGAAAAATAAAAATAGGTTTAGGTAAACAGCACTGGCATTAAACATCATGTCCCAGCATTTCCTTGGAAAGACTCTTTGGCTGCAGTTTTGTTGCTTTAGTTGCTTAGCTGGTTCTACATTTTATCAGCCCACAGAAGCACCCCATGAAGGTACCCAAAGATCTTCAGAAAGAGAAGCACAAGGCTGTGTTCAGACTCAGGAGCAAACTCAGACTCAAAATCAGCAAACCAACATCACAACCACAGGCGCAGGGAAGGTGAATGAACACGAGAAATCCACGGCAAGTGCAAGAACCAGGGCCAGCATTACTTTGCCCTTCCAAACAATGATTAACCACAGAGGGTACCAGCCGTCTGCAGGGTTCCCAGTAGCAAACTGACTTCATTCTTGGTTCATGCTAAAGTTTTAGGTGTCTGTAGAAACTATGAATGGATCAGCTGAAAAACAGCCACTGATGAGTATTTCCAGACAGCCGTTCTGAAAGTGTTTACCATGTGGCACAAACAAATAAGCCTAATTATTTCAGCTTCCAAAAATCAGTTACTTATAAGAAATATGCCAGCTGTATAGCTTTTCAAAACCTAGTTTACTTCTCTAATCAATATGAAAAAGCCTGTCAATCATGCTGTGCATCCTCTGCCTGTCATCAGAACCACTTAGTGCCTAATCACACACTTACCATCTACCTTTGTATCCCTCCTGGCAAATGTTTCTATTATCAGCTTGCAAAACGCAAAAAAAAAAATGCTCTATCTTGTTGCTTAGGATGAACCATTACATTGATGATTCAGGCATTATCTGTTTTTTTAAAAGGAGACATTTGTCACAGTACACCTTCCCACTCTTATATTTCTTCACTGAACAAGAAAACGCCTCACCCAGCTGTAATCAGAGAGCATCTAATATATTCAAGACAAACAAGAACATGAATTTTGAATTCTAACCTGAACCAAACGGCACAAAACAAGCCATATGGGCAAACCTCATGTGATCCTACAGTGACATAAGTCAAGACTCATGTATCCTCCCCTACAAATTTTAGACAATAAAATTTTCCAAATTCTTCTGCCCTAGTGTGCAAAGGTAAATGCTTGCTTCAGGGAACTCACTTTGGGATTCACCAAAGTGCAGCCTGATTTTAACAGAATATGAAGCTTGTCACAGTCTGTACAACATCCCTAGTATCATCCTGGAAAAATGCTACAGAAACCTTCAGTCGTCATCATCCTTTACATAGCTTTATGACCAACTGTTTCCAATTCTGTTTCTGTGTAATTTATGCCATACACTGGCCTGCATTTCCATTCCCTGTTACGGAAAACATCTTCCAAAGCATTTCAAAGAAAATAAGAAAATATGCATTTTCAAGCACAATATTTTATCAGTACTGCAATATTTTAATACAAGTCCATTAAAATTACCATGACACTCAAGCCCATACAAGTAAAAATCTTGCACGAAATCCACATTTAAATCTCCTCCCAAGCATTTGACATTTCTTCTCTTTTTGCTGCAAAATTTAAGTTTTCTTTTTTAAGAAATATAATTTACCACCCAAGCCAGAATTTTTTAAATACACCCTTCTGAATGTGAATCAATGCATCGCTCACTTACTTCTTCCCTCTCCCAGAAAGTCAAGATTAAAGGCTATGTTCAAACACTTCCCAAATGTGATGCACTGCCCGGACAGTTTTGACTCAAACTACACTCTTTGTCCAATATTTGGACCACTGAGGTTCTTTCTAAGCAGCTCTTTTCTCACCCTTGAGGTTGCTGTGTGGCAGCATTTGTGTGTGTGCTGCTGCACTGCCTGTCAGTGTAGCTGGGCCACAATATATTTTCCTGCAGGTTATTTGTAACAGTCTACCAGTAACTCCCAAAGTTTCCCTGTATTCCCTATCCTAAACAAACTCCATTTTCTTTAGTCTTCTCATACCTCCTTCACCAAATAATTTTCTTAACAGCCAAAGCAATAGCTGAGTATTTTGTGCACACTCCCAAGCTCCTGGAGAGAGCACCTTCATCCTCTTGGTAGTGGCAGGCTTGAAGACTCCACCCTCTTGAATTAAAGTACCGTCACCTCCTCTGTAGCATCCATCACAAATCATAAATCTAAATCATAAAGCATATGTTAGTGGGTGGCTTAACATTTAATTCCTATGCTCATGTGATGTATGCTTGTGAGCAACACATATCTCACAGTGGTTTTCCACTTAATTAACTGCCAACATGTAATTGTTGGTCAAAAGATAAAACTGTGGGGAGATGATGAGAAACTGGAACTCACCATAAATCCAGATAAAAGCCACACTTAGAACCACACGAATCCACCATTTATTTTTTAGGCAATAATATGCAGACACACTTAAGATACAAACCCTTTAAACGTAAAAGATTTTTTTTTCTTTTTAATATTTGCAACTTCATCAGAGAAAGCATCCAAAATAAAACAACTAGTTCTGTTGTTTCTAGTTTCTAAGGTCTCCTATGAGATTGTGAAAAAAAAATAAAAATATGTACATAAGAAAATATCACAGGACTTTAGCTTTCATTTGTCTAAGGAGATTAGGGTGTTTAAAAATACACATCCCCTTGCAAAACCACTGGAGGAAGCACACTTCATAGGGACAGTGATTTTGTACACCATGAAGCATTGTTTTTTCTGTTTCTTCACTCCAAGATACCCACTTCTAAAACTAGACAAAAAAAAAACCTCAGAAGACAAAAGAAAGCTGTTAGAGAAAATGAAGTTCCCAATCATGAAAATGAAACAATTTAAGTAAATGTCTGCAGCCTAACCCGAGGCACACCTCTGCACAGGTACAGACACAGCCTCAGTTAAACCAAAGCCATTTTACAGTGCTGTTGTTGTCAGACCTTCCCGTGACACCCTCCTGTCCCTCAATGCTTCCTCTGCCCCAGAACAGGGAGCTTGTTCAGTATGGATTGAATCTTATAGAAAGTAGTATTTCAGCACTACTGAGTTTACATAATATATTCAAGATACTACAGTTAAAAGCCATTAGAGAGAGGAGCATATGTGTTTTAACCATGTGCACTACTTGTAGTTACCTTTTTGAGAAGATTAAAATTAAGCAGCTTTTTCTTTTCATCTCACTCACACCCTCCCACTACAAATTCTGTCTGAGCTAATCCTCCTTCTAGAGACTTCAAAACAGGGCATAAGTATTACAGCTACTTACTGCCAAAATGTGCTGGTTTAATATCCCATTACTGTTGTAATACTGGCACAATAACTTATTATAGGTGACAGCTTTTGCAGTTAGTCAAAGATAGAGCCACTTATTCAGTACTGGTTTTTTTCACCACATAAAAATATCTCTGTAAAATTTGTACAAGAGAAAATTTAAGATCTGTACTCAGGTACTCATCTGAGACTATGATGCCAGACAAAATAAAAGGCTCATCAAGTCATTACACGTGCTTTTCTTACCCTGTCATTTCCACTGTCAGAGACTTTATGTAAAGCGCTCGGTCCAGAAATTCAGGTTACAGTGCTTACAAATGTGTTGTTTACCCCTTATTTCCCAGCATTTTAAAGCACACTTTCACAGACTTTTGCATTGTTTTTAAGGGCAACACTCTGCACAAGGCAATGTCCATCTCAGAACACACTTTCATTGAAAAGTCCATGCTTGTCAAAACGTTCAAGTTTATTTTTCGGGAATCTGCAGCATAGAAATACACTAAGAAGTCTGGTTAAGGCCCTAAAAATATCTAGGTTAAGTACGTGCGATGAAAAGGATGCTACGGGACACGCTAAAGACAAGTGGCATCAGGAAACATGTGAAATCACGAAGTTGAATACTCCGGCTTCAGTGTATGCCAAGTCCCGGTACCCGGAGCAGCGCGGCAGCTCCGCTCCAGCCCCGCTGCCGGCCGAGAGAGCACAGCCGAGAGGGCACAGCCGAGAGGGCACAGCCGAGAGGGCACAGCCGAGAGGGCACAGCCGAGCGGGCACAGCCGAGCGGGCACAGCCGAGCCACGCTCGGACGCGGGGACTCACGGGGGACGAGCCCCTGCCAGCCCCTGCCCTGCACCGCTCGCACACACCGGGTTCACACCCGAGTCACACACACCGGGTTCACACACAGCGGGTTCACACATCCCGGCTCCGGCCCGCGGTCCCGTCCGGCGGCAGGGCTGCAGGGCTGACCCGCCCCGAGGCCTCACGGAGGGGCCGCCGGCCGAGC